TCAAACACAATCATTACCTTCATAATGGATTAAAAAAGCTGAATAGGCATAATAGAAAGAGAGCCGGGAAAGATTGCTATCAAGCTATAACTAACTGACAAAGGAAGCGAACGCTCGATTTTTCGTGACAGGACGTTTAAAAGGTCGAAACAACCTCTCGCTGGGAAACCCTGACTAATCCAACAACAGCACAAAGGCAAGCACTCGTATATTTTCCAAGGAAGACAAATTTCACTCGCCTTACGGGCTCGTGCAATTTTGTTAGCCTTTGAACAGTTCACTCGTGCTAATTGATCCCACATTTTACTCGAAATCTTGTGATTTCTCAATGAAAATCTATAATTTATACAATTATTAAGTGATAAATGCATTTTAAGAACAACAAAAAGATAATGCGTTTACAGCGTTTAAGCGTTCTCTATTGCATTGTATTTGTCTACCCTGTGTCTTTGAACTTTCGTATATCTTTTCCAAAACTAGAACTATTACTCAATGTCTTCTCTATCACAAAAAAAGGAAGATATGACGGGTTTTTTCGAAAATATACATTAGACGGTTCTCACCGGCGTCTGTGACGTGGCTTTCACTTAGATTAAGAGAGGACTTTACATGCTGCTGGTTGTGATGCTTGACGTAGACTGGCAACACCGGCATCGGTGATCTGATTACCAACCAGATCAAGGTCGGTGACTTTACATGTTGGTGTCTGTAATGCTTGACATAGACTGGCAACACCGGCATCGGTGATCTGATTACCAGCCAGATCAAGGTCGGTGACTTTACATGTTGGTGTCTGTAATGCTTGACAGAGACTGGCAGCACCGGCATCAGTGATTTGATTACGACCCAGATAAAGCATGGTGACTTTACATGTTGGTGTCTGTAATGCTTCACATAGACTGGCAACACCGGCATCGGTGATCTGATTATCTTCCAGACCAAGGTCGGTGACTTTACATGTTGGTGTCTGTAATGCTTGACATAAACTGGCAACACCGTCATCGGTGATCTGAATATCAGCCAGACCTAATCCAGTAACTTTACATGTTAGTGTCTGTAATGCTTGACATAGACTTGAAAGACGTGATCTGATTTTTTCTCGTAGCGCACATCTGTATGGCTTTCTTCAAGTCCAGGGATTTTTCTCTCAAGAGTCTCACCTTGTCACCTTGATTCTTTAAACCAATAACGAGCCTGTCCCTGATAAGCTCATCTGTTAGTGCACCGTATTCGCAGGACGCGGCTAATTTTCTCAGACGTGTGACATAACTTTGGACAGATTCTTCGCTTTGCTGCACACACGTATTAAAAACATACCGTTCGTAAACCAAATTTCTGCTAGGTTTGAAGTAGCTTTCTAAAGCTTCTGAACATTTGTCGATTTTCTTCTTATCGTCCTCTGGAAGATTTAGGTTGAGTAAGATCTGAAGACACTCTCTGCCCATCGATGAACGCAAAGTCGCTAAACGGACCGATTCCTCTCGCTTATCGAGGCCTGTTGCTGTTTCAAAGTCACTCCATTGCTCCTTGAAAAAATCCCAGTTACCAGTAACGTCACCGTGACACTTCATAGGACTTGGCAGCGGAAATTGGGGCGGTGGGTTGAACTGTGTTAGCTGCTGCCATTGATGGCACGTCGATTTGCGCGCCCGACTCCACGTGGTCGTTATCTGACGGCATCTTGAGTTCTTTTTTCTACACTTTGAGCCCAAAACTCTCTTTGAAATTACGAATAATAGAAGGGAACGGTATCAGCAAGGTACCTTCGGCGATTAATTTTCAAAAAAAAGTGCAGAATCCTCAGAAAATCCATCCCGTTTCTGACACCATGTTATGACATGTGAACTACACATTTAGTAAAAAGAAACAACTTTATTTTATGTCCAAATAAGGAAACAGGTAACGTGACAAGTGACGCATTTATCGTAACACAGGCTTGTGGAATTTTCATTTTAAGCAAATCGCCCTTCTATTTAAAATGTAGATGTACTAGATCGTCAATCAATGACATTATTCTTCCTAAATTTCATCTAGATGTCGCTAAAAAGTCTTTTTACTATCATGGTGCAATGACATTCAATAGTCTTCCAATGAACATTAAGACTTTACCACGTAAGGAACGTTCCCTGGATATCTCCACTTTTTATTCTTAGGCTATTTTTAGAACATTCTCAAATCGAACATTGTTACTTTTTATATCAGTTGGTTCCTATTGATATGTGTATATATATAATTTATTTTACTCTCTTCTATTTTATGCTATACAGGGCCCCCGTTGATACCAGTCTTGTGACTGAAGGGGTCACCCTGTTTAAATATCAATAATTTTTATTATTATGGCAGTAAAACGTAAGGATGCCTCCTTAAATAAGATATTGACAA